AGGGGGGATATGATCTCCATGTACAAAATGTTCAATGGTGGCAGCAACATTAGCGATAAACTGTTTAAAATTAACTCCATTACAAAAACTAGAGGCCACCACCTAAAATTGGTGGAAAAAAAATTCCAGCACAAGGGGCGAAGGGGGTTCTTCACAGTAAGATCAGTTAGGGTCTGGAACTCACTGCCACAGACAGTGATTTCAGCAAAGAATGTGGAATTGTTCAAGAAACTTTTGGACGATTTCTTAAGGGACCGTAATATACAGGGGTACAGGTACTCCTAGAATGAGATCCTAATAGGTTGGACTTGATGGACTAATGTCTTTATTCAACCTCAAATACTATGTAACTATCCTAAATCCATGCTGCATATCAGTTATTATGCCCTGATCCTGGACGAATTCCACTAAGTAATCCTTAATAATTCCCTCTAACAGATTACATACTATGCATGTCAGACTAACTGGTCTATAGTTCCCCGTTGGCATTTTGACCCTTTTTTGAATATAGGTACCACATTAGCCCTTCGCCAGTCGCTTGGCACTCTATCAGCCATTACGGATTCCTTAAAAATAAGGAACAATGGTCTAGTTATCTCCTTGTTCAGTTCCTTGAGTACCTTCCGATGTAGATTATCGGGTCCTAATGCTTTATTTGCATTTAGTAGTTTAAGCCTATGGTGTATCCCAGTTTCAGTCAACCATCAGGTGTATTTCTTGTTTCAGAGACTCTTCTTTTGCATAGGACATGGTAGTGTGGAGAATCAGGACTTCCTTCTTGCCTAGGTATTTTTTGATTTCCCCAAAACCAGATATTTGTTTTCTCATTGCTCTGTCTGGCTCCAGTTCACCGAAAGGAAATTTTCCTCCATGGTCTGGATGTCATTTGGGCAGTGATAGTCTTTTTCTTTTTGAGAAGGACTGGTTCCTTTTGTATTGTGGCTGGACCCAGTAAGGGTACGCCAGCTTTTCTGTGCACCATCTCTAGGAAACTCAGAGAGACCATCATACAAACGTATGGTTTTAAGCATCAGGTTCCACCCTGTTATATAAAGGCGCACTCTACTAGATCTGTGAGTGCCTTGCGCTCATTTCGGCATCATGCAACCTTTCCCAGTTTGCACAACTACCACCTAGTCTTCTATTTTTTTTTCTTATGTTTCTTCTTTCTTATGTTTTACCAGGTGGATAATCAGGCCTCATCTGATGCTAGCTTCGGACATTAGGTCATTAATGCAGCTCTTTAAACTGAAGGCATTCCCCACTTTTCTGCTGTCTTTTCTTGGTCCTATTAGCCTTTCTTGCTGTGTTGCCCACACCTCTATTGGACTGCTTTTTGACATCCCGACAGTCTAAAAATTCCTGTGTCCCTCAATAGAAGATAGAAAGAGGATTTTTTTACTCACCATAAAATCCTTTTCTTGGAGTCCATTGAAGGACACAGGTCCCTCCCCTCAATGTTTCTTCGTTCCTCTCTGTGCTACTTTTCCACAAAACCAAGGGATGATGGCTGTGGGCGGGGGTTATCCTGTGCTGACTAATTACTTATTTTTTTAGCCAGTGTCCATTTCTTCTGTAAGCGGCAGTGTAACCCAACGATCTAACAAATTCCTGTGTCCCTCAATGGACCCCAAGAAAAGGATTTTACGATGAGTACAAAAATCCTACTTTTGTTAATAAAGTCCGTGTACATTCACAGTAAGTAAAATGTTTGTGGAACATTTGAAAGCTCTAATGTGTAGATTCCTTTTTGCTGCAGGTTTGAGAAGTTAGACATAACACCAAAAAGTGCCCAGAAGTTGAAACCAGTTTTGGAGAAATGGCTGAACGAGGCAGAAATGAGGAACCAAGAGGGACAACAAAATTTGATGGAGTTTGTAGGTGGGGAGCCATCCAAAAAGCGCAAGAGGCGTACCTCTTTCACCCCACAGGCTGTGGAAGCACTAAATACTTACTTTGAGAAGAACGCCTTGCCCACTGGACAAGAAATAACCGATATCGCTAAGGAACTCAACTATGACCGTGAGGTGGTAAGGGTATGGTTTTGCAACAGACGTCAGACTCTGAAAAACACCAGCAAGCTTAATGTCTTTCAGATCCCTTAGAGAATAAAATGCATTCTCTTTACCACCATTAGGCACCAAGCACTTCATCTTCTCCCTATTTTCCAGTGCCCTGAGACGTTCACTTGAAAAAGCACTTTGTGGCTGAATTTTTGCTTTATGCATACTGTGGCCAACTGTTCCTTGTACATGATCCCTTTCTTCATAGTTTTTATATGAGAGAAGCTTGGTGGGGCAAAAGGTCAAAAGCCATCTTTGCCGGATGACTGGCAATTTTGTTCCACATATTTTGCATACATTGATTATCTATAAAGCCAGATGGATTTCCCTCTGTGGTGGGAAAGACTTTGTAGACATTGTGGCTCAAAAGACATTTTAACTGTAAAAAAAAAGAGTAACTGTTGTCCGAAGGCAATTGTGTAGAGTGACACCTCCAACAAAACCAGTATGTATCTGTCAGAGTCTATATGTACCAGCAAACCATTTTTATGCCATAAAACTCCAATTCAATATTTTCCATTTTGACCCACATTTCCATAACGAAATATAAGAATCTGGCAGTGCATTGTTCACCTCTTACTGAATATTTGTCTGAAGACATTTATTTTACATAGCTATTACCTTCTCTATTTTCATTTTTTTTACATTGATAACATTAAGAGGTGACATCAGATACATTTTTGTATTGCTGTGATTACGTTTTTTTGCAGTTGGTGCTTGTAAAAACAAATACGTTATCTAACCTATTACAATTTTTATTGGTCTGGTTTATGTTATAGTATTCCTTATGCAGTGTAAGGCAGTTTTCCAAAAGTAGTGTTAAGTCATTTTATTTATTCTTGAAATCCTGCATTTCTTTCACAAGAATGCTAGGATTGGATTGTTCTATTTTCAAATGATATGACTCGTTAATGTTTACAAGGTGTGAGTATTTTTTTATTCAAAATATTATTATTTTTTTATT